TAACTTAGAATGATGTTCTGTACCACTAGACTGGGATTAACCCATGATTCAGCAGTCATCAATAAACAGTGCATATAAGCATTAACTGCAAAGTGAATAATAATACTATAACTAGTCTGACATTCAGCAATAGGTGAAGGTCTCTATGTAACAGCTGTAAAGAGACAGTGTCTTCAGCCAGCTAGCGTTGGGGCCCATTTGTGTCAATGGTGCATGTGAGAATAGTCCTAGTCAAGCCTGCAGGCAGCAATAAGGCTACTAGATGGCTGTATGGTCAGTTCCTTAAGGGCTCAGTCTCTTTCTCTAGCAACAGATACTAGATCCCCACAGCAGCAGCTCACCAGTCCCAGTGATATTTCAGCTCACCATCCAGTCACACACAGTGATTAGTCCACTCTCTGCTTTGCCTTCAGGTGACTCTGGCTGTTGGCACCCTCAAACCCAGCACTCTGGATTCTGCTCAGACCACTGATATGCAGCTGTAGTGGTGCACACTGGACAGTGATGTGCACTCTCCAGTCTCTCTGAGAAAATGCAGCTCTTTTCCCTCCTGTTGGCAAACTCTCTCTGGGAAATGTGGTTGAAAAGCTATTGATTGCAGTAGAGTCTGTCCTCTGGACTACAATTCCCACAGTGCAGTGCTGCCTGACTCAGTCTTTTGAACTCTTCCTGCTCAGCAGCTCCCTCTTCTTGTTGATTTAGCTGTTAAAAAGTTCAGCACTGCAGGGCAGCAGCTGCTGCCAGTGTTTCTCTCACTTTCTATTTATATCCAAGCACCTGGCTACAGAAATTATTACAGAGTTGGGTTTAGGAATAATCTCTTAAATCTTAAATCAATGAGATTTGCTTGAAAGTAGTAAAATTCTTTTATGTAGGCTTTACTTTTTAGTAGCTTTTTTTCATAAGATTCCATGTTTGCTAGCAGCTTGATACTGAAACAATTATTCTTACAGCAAAAGTATAGGAAAAACACCTATTATCAACCATTTTTTTTTAATTTCCTACCTCAGGCTAATCGCTGGATTCGAAACAGAGAAACTAAAAATGGCTTAAAAGTCATTAAACTGACGGATGCTGGTTTTCTCCGGACATTAGAAAATGCTATTAGACTTGGTCTGCCAGTTTTGTTAGAAGAGGTAAGCACAAGCTGATCTAATTTTATGTGCCATATTGTCTTGAATTTTTTTTTATTGTTGCTGTGGATGCTGTCAGGAAAAATGAACAGGTACACACCTAGAGTATGAGCACTATATTTATGTGACTGCTGTAAAAAATACTGTTCACCAGTCAGGTGTTTGATGTCTGTCACCTTGAAGAGTCCCTGTCACCAACGTAGCAAAAAGGAAATTAAAAACACAGAAAATCAAGTATCATAAATGAGAAGTATGGCCAAAGCTATTTTGGCCATACTTCTCTTGTGGGTCAGAGGAGTGCACCTGCTTGTTCCCCCCCCCCCCCCCCCCGGCCCAGAATTAGATGACAGGGGGCTACAGCCAGGCTCTGGAAGGATTCTGATCATATTCCTGGCATCCACCCAGCAACCTGATTGACAGTTGGCTCCTCTTCTCAGCGCTCAAAGCCAGCTGTGCCCACCCCCTCTCTAGCTTGGTGATCCAGTGAGCGCTGTAGGGACAGAATGGAGAGCAGTGACTGACAGTCACTGCTCTCTGCTTTGAGAAGACTGTGAACTAAGCAATTAGCGGTCAGTGGTGAGTGTGATCAGAGCTGATGGATGCAGCAATTTTTCTTTTCCATAAATAATGTTTTTATTTGGTTCTAATGTACCTTTGACATTGCTAGCAAATTTGACTCCGTGTCTGCTGACATTACATCCAAGATTCCAGGGCCCAGCAGCATCTCAGGGAATGGGAATGTACACAGTGAAGAACTTTACAAATAAATAGCATGCTTAAAATATTGCAAATGCACATATAGTGTTATGGGGACATTATTTGTTAAATTAATGATCTTATTTTTGCTCCAATTGGCAGCACAAGTGTGGTGACAGGGTTTCTTTATGAAGATGGAAGGTGGTTAAAAGACAAACCACTGTCATCTCTGCTGAACATTTCATGAAAACATTCTGCAACTTGTGACTAATACTCATGGCAATTGGCAACTATGACCACATCAAAGAAAACAAAATCATTGTCAATAAGAAGAATCCTGTTATCTTTTTTTCTTGTGTTTAACACAAAACCTGGTTACAGTAATAGGTAATAGGAAGCTGACTTTGACATACGGCTATCTGCAAAGTGGAGAGATAACATTTTTAGAATGGCTTTGCTAATGCCATACATTGTCACATCTTCCTTGGTTGGAATTTTTCTATATTTTTTGCCATTGAAGACTTTTGTAATAAATGGAGTAAACAAAGGCTTCTTTCAGGGAGTATTTGGTGTGTGTTTGTAATGAATAGTACAAAGGCTCTTTTCAGTGAATGCCCTTGTCATTCACAAGGTAGTTCTTGGACAAACAGAACTTCCTCTTTCACATTGATTTTTCCAATCCAATGTGTTGCTGAGCTAGTTCTTATAAAATCCCTGGATAACAAGCATATCGTACAGGACAGTATTGGTAGAAGAGAAGACGATCTCTAGAGATTCTGCTTCTTATGAGCACAATTAGTATGCTCTGCTTAGACTTGGCCTTGCACATTCTCTTCCTAATTAGCATTTATACTTGCTATTGTATTGTTTACTTTTGTAAATTGCTTCATTTTGTCTTACAGGAGGGACAAAATATAATTTTTCACTTACCATTTGATACATGTTAAATCCATCCTAGCCACATTAATTCTGTGGTTAAGCTAAAATAAGAGATCCACTACAAGCATAAATGATACCTTGTTATCAAATTGATCATCTGTGCGATTGTCACTTTTTCCATCATTTAAGAGAGAAAATATATTTTCTTTTTTTTTTTATCGAATAGTTGCCATACTGTTTCCCAACAGTACATGCAGAGATGGGTCAGTCAGAGAAGCTATTTGTTTTCCCATATTCGTTTTGGATTCTTCCTTTAATAAATTGATATCCAATCATGTGAAAAGCCTGTTTACTTTAAAACCTCTATCATGCAGATTAAGCAGGAATTTGCTTTTCACTTAAGTGGATAATTATATAATATATTGAATTAAGATTTCAGCTTCATTAGTAAATCAGTCCATTGATGTTTGTTGGTATATGCGTAATATTAAAGTCCTTTTAGATATGATATGGAGTTTGGAAGATCCAAGATCTGAATAATTTTTTTACTGTCAGTCCAGATGGGAAAATAAGTCTTTTAACAGATCTTGCCATTCATCTGTCTAAGCATCCAAGATGGCATGCCAATGTTTTACTGTATTATGGAGGGGACAAAGAAGGGAGATAGACCCCGAAGCTGGTTCCACGATTCATCCATATAATATGGCACCATAGGCAAAACATAGGTTCACTTTAAGCTGACAATATATTTTAATAATCTATAACAAAGTGCCTGAAGATATCAAATTACTACAAATGGACCACTATGCTGAAATTTACGTTAACCTCTATTGCAAAAGTGATGTGCTAATCTCATCGTGCATTAAGCCTACTTGGTCCTAAAACTTCACTTTTATTCATTACTCAATAAAATGAATACAAACGTTAACAGACAATGGTGATGCAACTAAATTTCATACAGATGAGTACAAAGGTATAAGATGCAGCAAGAAAACTTCAATGGCAAAACTGAGGAGCTAACTGAGTCTAAAGTCTAAATCTTCTGTACTTTCTGTCTTCATAAGTCATAGATTTGCCAACAACTATCTAGTACAACCATCCAATCATTTTATATCAGGTAACACACAGCACACAGCACTACATAACTGTGCTAAATCTATGGACCTTGAAGCGAACCTGAGCCCAGGTCATATATACTAAAGTATTTGCAGATTCTAAACAAACGGTGAAAACACTTTAAAAGAAAGCCACTATTCATCTTTGTATCTATAAGCATTGTAGAGAACTGCATTTTCAAAATATTTAAGACAGGCAGTGTGTTAATACTTGTAGGCTGGCTGCATTTTAAAGTAAACAAGCTGTTAGAAACTAATTGAAATAAACTTTAGAGTTTTTAACATAACACAATTATTTATTAATTTACTGTTACCTTTGGGAAACCTTGCATGTGGTTTCTTTAAGAAGTTCAGGCCTAAAGCACAGATTAAAGATACAATCAACACCCTTCAGTGAAGTGTCCCATGATATGGTGTTCTTGTCTTTCTAAGATTGGGGACAGAGAAATGATCCTGTTAAGTTACTATGCGATTCTATGCTGGTAATTCTGATGGAGAACCAAAGCCAATGTCCGTTTTGCAGCTTGATTACATCTGCTTGGCAACAGCGCAAATTGTTCCCTCTTAAGTTTGGCACTAAATGCTAAATTTATTTCTGATGACTGCAAATTATAGAGCCCTGTTGGTTGTTGTGTGTCAGCCTAGCTATTTACTCAGAAAATGCAAACTATTAACAAAAGCATTTCATAAATCAGCTACTCTAATCTGTTCTATATGGTCCTGTAGATTGTTTACTCTCTTAACATACATAATCCAGTACTCATTACTCTGAAATTGATTGACATGAAGGAATAACATTATGTGAGGATCAGGGTCATTTAGAAGTCAGGATGATTTAGCATTGCTGAAATATTGTATTTTATACTTAAGACAGGTGGTCTTTCATGTAAAAAACACATCTACAGTAAATACAGTAATTAAAGCTATATATGTGAAAATAAGTACTGAGATGTTTGAAATACCCATTACAAAGGTATAACACAAAAAAAACATAATGTTTACATAATGGAATGCGTTAGAAAGAAATATCCCATAATAGAATCAACTTTTCTAAACTGAGCTTAGAATTTGTACATATTTAAAAGAGATATATTCTGCAATAATTCACAAAGTGTTCAATAATCGTGACTTGAGCTATGTATGATTCTGTGTTTTTTAATTAAAGCTGAAGGAAAGCTTAGATCCTGCTCTGGAGCCAATTCTTCTCAAGCAGACCTTTGTGTCAGGCGGAAGAACGCTAATTCGCCTTGGAGACTCTGACATTGATTATGATAAGAACTTTAGGTTCTATATGACAACTAAAATGCCAAATCCACATTATCTTCCTGAGGTAAGGAACAACAGCCGTTCCACATTTATCATTGTGATGCTGAATCAAGATGATCTGCAATTATGTTGTCTTAACAATGTCCTGCAAGTAGTCTCCAAAATATGTTATCAAAATTAAAAACTAGCCAAGGTGATAGTGATTAAGCAAAGCTTACAAAAGACAGTTTTTAGCTTGGTTAATAGTAACTTAAAGTAATGTTATCATGAAATTAAAGGAGCTGCCATTGTGACCTGTATGTGAAAAGGTTAGGCAAGCCATACATTATGCTATTTTTTTTCCTGCAATCACATCTGCCCTTACTCAAAATGGCAGAAATGCTAGGGGGTGTTTTACAAAGTGATTTCTGAGTAATGTAAAGCATGGAGACAAGAATGGATTGGTGCATTTGCTTTGAATTAAATAGCATTTTTGACTTGTGTTGCTCAGATGTAGTGTAGGTCCACTTTAAGGTCAAAGGAACAGGTTAGCTTTAATCCTCTGTAGCAGCATATCCTTACCTTTTTTAATCGTCCATTATAAGACACAGGACCTACTGTAATTGTTTCTAAGTGTGTATTTTGCAAGCCAAAAAAAAATTAATTAATTAATTAATTAATTAAATGTAAATGTATGAATAAGGGGTGCACAGCATTGTCCCCATTACATCAAAGAGGGCACAACCCATTCATGTGTATCCAGCAGAGTCTTCGTTTACCTTTTAAGGTGGTAAAGCAGCAGGGTGGAAGCTGGAAGGTGGAACAGGTCAAGACATAAGAAGTCCATTCCTCCTGTAAATGTTGGAGGCAGGGCAATCATGCTATTGGTTGCTAGGACACCAAATGTCCTAGCAACCAACCACCGAAGAGTGTGTGTGTGTGGAGGGGGAATTTGTGCTGGGAACTAGAGCAAGGTCGTGGCCGGCAGTGGGATGCGCAGGTCTTCATTTTATGACACACAATGCCTGAAAACCAGGGTTGTTGTGGGCTGGATAAAATCTTGGCCACTCAGCAAAGAGTTCCTTGGATGTTAATGGCTCCCACTGCCTACAGTTATTTGGTCACAAAAGGCATAATCCTTTCTGATGTGCAGCATAGACCATGCACCCCTGCAGGGTTAACCCTCACTGCACATGGAGTATCATAGTTGCAGTGGGAAAAGTTCAGTGGGCCTTGCCAGCTCACACATAGCTATTGGCTTGGGGGATCTGCAGAACCTCTTCTAACAGTCCTGATTTTAATTGTCCTGACCTCAGTCCTTATTCTTTGTCCCTAATCTGTACCCTTTCTAGAGGCCTCCCTAGCTCCTTCTGGCATACCCCCTTCCTGCTTCTTTCCAGAGAGGAATTTTCAGTCTCTATGTCGATTTTATGGGTAGGTTAGCTGCCCTGTTAGAGGCCTCAGATCACAGGTGACACAAAAGGGCTCTCTCTAACTTTCCGTGAGTGTCCATCTTTGGTACTTCTCTTACAGCTTTTGTGCTCACTTAAGAGGAAGGTTTACCATCTGGCTTAGAGGACTCTGCTCAGGAGCATACCCATTCTTCCCCAAGCTTAAAAATACTATTTCAATCCTCGCTGATGCAGTACACAAATCTTGCCCTTGAGCAGCCTGTGTTTATCTGACTAAAATATACAGGCCTGGCTCCTTATTGCTTAGGCTGGCAAATCATTCTTTGTACACTAACCTCCAGAGTCTCTTTGTACAGTGACTGGCCTTATCCTGAAAAAATCTTCATCCCTCCCAAGCGTTTTGCTCATCAGTACTCAAATGTAGAGGATTTCTTAAAGAAGTGAACCATTCATATTGTGGACCCAACTATTTCCTGCCTTAACAAGACCTTAATGGGTCTCCTGAGGATGTCCCTGTTTTAAGGACTATGTGGATATGAGGTTAAAAGCCCTCTTCAAGGCACATTTTTCCTGGCTGGTTCTGCTATACAGTCTGCCGTCATGACCACATCTCTCTGTCAGACCTTGGTTGTTTGGTCCAAACACATGCCTTGGGTCCCTGAGTGCATTTTCAGATTCATCTGTCCTCCATTAGCTGGACCTGCTGCCCTGTGCTAGTGTGTGAATGGGTTAGTAGATAGGCATACCTATTCAAACAGGCTAGGATTGGAACTACTAAATAAATAGGCTGTTTTCTGATTTTGAGTGCTATGTTTGCCTATTTTGTTACATTGGCCGCCTATTGACATTTATTTGCTGTGTTCCCCACCCACAGTTGCATTGCTTTTGAACATTCCAATGGTCTAAGACTAAGATCCCGTGTCCAGTAATGTATGATTAAGAAAACAGGATTTTGTTTTATATACTTGTAAAATCCTTTCCTTGGAGTACATTACAGGACACATGTCCCTCTACTCTGTACTTATGATTCACTCCTTATTGCATGCTACTAACTGAGGCTTGCTGGAAGTTATAGGGGACATGATGGGGTTGTCTTTACAGCTTTATTTGCCAGTGTCCAAACACCTGAAGGCAGTTGCATAACACAATGGACTAGAACTAAAGATCCTGTGTCCTGTAATGTACTCCAAAAAAAGTTTTTTTAAGGTAAGTCAAACACCCTATTTTACTTTGCTCACCTGCAACTCTGTTCCCTGCTGGGAGCCAAAACAAATACTTATGGGTATGGAGGAGCATGTTACCCACATGGGCTTTTTGGGCGTATAATCACTTTTATTAGTGCCAAATCCTTCAAAACCAAAAACAATGGGTAGGGCTTATTTTTTCCTACTTTTGTTGGATTAGCTGGAAATAGTCAATTGTTTAAAGTACTGACTAACCGAAAAGGACAATTTCTTTGAAGTAACTGGATTACCAATATAACTGTTAGTACTCTACCCAACACATACAACATTTGCATATACAGTATATTCATCTAGCATTACTACATGTACATCAATTATATGCAAATGATACAGCTGTTAGAATGGGGCAAAATCAAATGTTCTTAAGGTGAATTACCCCTCCTTCCACTTTTGCTACTCAGCAATCCCAGGATCTCACTGGAACCATAACATTAACCTCTCCAGTGAAGAAGCATAGGGAGGAGGGCTTTAATGTAATAAACAGATATTACATTTTAGTGCAAGGTTCACTTTAAAAAATGCATGTCTATTTAATGCTGGTAACACAATACAACTGGTTGCAAAAAGTTAGAGACAAACTGTCAAGCAGCAGGCTGTCTACCACAAGAAACAGAGAAAGTATGGCAGCTGTCATTACATTGTGTACATATCATTTGTGGAAATAATCATAAAAATACTTTGAATTGAAATTCATTTTGAGCCTTGCTTGTTAAATCAGTGCTGTGCTTTGTATATAATAATCCAGTCAGTGTTATTAAATATAATTGATTTGGAAGATTATAGGTATTTACTGCAGCCTGCAGCAGCCATTGCTTCACTGAGTTGTCAGATTGTTACATTTGTAAATGAATATTCTTTCCCAAATAGATGCACTGACCTTTTTAGTGGTGTCACACATGCTGGCAGAGAAATATTCATAACAGTTTAATGTAGCTGAAAACTTTTGAAAATAAATTAAATATCTTCTGGTATATGGCAATTGCAATAGATTTCAGCTAAATGATGTGGTATGTAAGGTGATTATATTTTTATTAGGGGGATTTTCAAAGATTTGCTCTACAGTTAAACACATAAAACAATTTGCACTGATGAAAATGACAAAGGCCCTAGCTCTAATATTACAGGAGCTTCATCATAAAGCATATTGATGATGATTTATAAGACTTAGCATGCGTTACTTGGTTAATTGCATTTATCTGTTATCCTGTAGCATGATGCACAATAAGCTGGTGATGTTACAGTTAGGGTGAAGAATATTAGTAAAGTGAATGGTTTGTGTAATTCTTTTACAACTAAAGATAATTCATAGCTGAGGCCAGAGTGAAAATTAAACATGGCAAATAGCAGGTTACATGGAAAACGCGTCATTTTTTTTTTATAAGAGCCTGTATATGGGTTTCTGTATTATCTACAAACATTTCCCATGCAAAAATGTCTGTGTTGCCTTTAGCAACAGATTATAGATTTTCTTTTCACTGCAAAACCGAACTAAAGTCTGGTTGGCTACTACATCTATTATATTTTTATACCTTTTTTTTTTTACATGCTATTGGACTGCTTTATGAAAAATCTGATCACATTTGAGTATAATGGCCATATAGTATGCTTTAATATGCTCTAGTTTTATTTATAAATTGAAATATTCCTATTGGTTTGGGGTGAAAAACAGCCTTACTTTTGTTGTAGATGTCATCAATCAGCCCAAGGCCCACTGAAACCAATGTACCATGGCTGCAGCAGCTTGATGAAAAGCTGTCCTCACAGCTACCTCTAGTTGCAGCATAAGGCAGCTTTAATCAGGATTGACCACCTAAAATGAATAGGGGAGGCCTACAACCTGTATGGCAAAACAGAACCACTGCGCAGAAACATGTGTCAGAAGCGGGGATCGGCACCACTGAGCCTGGAATTTATAGGGATTTTGGTAGTGCTGAGTACGTGAATGGGGTTTTAATAACATAAGATGTATAGTAGGCAAATGAAAATCAACTCTAGAAAGACTGCTCTAAAATTTTTAAAGTTGATATCTGATTTCTGATTGGTTGCTATGTATCAGTGCTCACCATGTTTCTTGCTTCCATTGCTGTTAAAGCTAATACCTGTATTTTTAGGTATATTTATCAGTTATGTTTCCTGTATATACAATATATAGACACTTTTTTCCTCTGATATTTCAACATACATGTGTCTTTCAATTTGTCTCTTGTTTTTATCTTTTTTTTTTTTCTATCTAGGTGTGCATTAAAGTGACTGTAATCAATTTCACTGTGACCAGATCTGGCCTTGAGGATCAGCTGCTAAGGTAACTTAGTTTTATTCTATACATTGAGTCCAACCAGGTATAAAAAAATTTACCTTGCATCCTAATAACCCTTAACCCCTATTTGTTCCAGAGGAATGTAAAAAAAACTTGTAAAACATAATCAATTTAAAACAACACTATAAAGAGTATTTATTTTGGGTAACTTTGTAAAAAAAAAAAGGCACCTAACCCATCCTTAATCACTAGGCATGTTCAATATAAAGAGTAAAGAAGAACTCCCAAAAAAATAAAGAAAAAAGAAAAAATACACCAGATATTTTTCATGTATAAAAATCTACAGAACATCCTAAAAAGCAGCAAACTGAAAAACTGAAATGCTTTTCATCTTCAATTACCCTGTAGTCAGGAAAGATTTGTTCTTGAATTGGCAAGTTGTTAATCTGTATAATTGTTTTAATACTGTGTATTGCACAGCAGTTCATTTGCTGTTTATATTTTTTAAATTAAAAATATCAGAGTTAATTGAGTTGATTTATATAAGGAAAATAAACTGTACACTTTGCCAGTGCACTTGCCCTAATTTTCCCCAGAGTTTAATGAATGTTTTTTCCTTGCATCTAATTGAGTATTCTTTACAAACTGAAGCTTCACCGCATTCATTAAGCTCTGGGAAAAATAAGTGCGCAGTCTATTTGCTTTTAGTAAATCAAACCCACTGTTCACTGCTCTGTCATTTAGTAGTGGACTATATGTAGTATAAGACAGTTTTTACTGCTACCAACAACATCCTTCTCTACAGAACCAACAATATGCTGCCAGCTGCACATCTGCCAGTACTATCAGAAATCAATAGCATTCCTAAAACAGGAGATGCTATGCAAGCCAATGTGAAGTTCTGCTCTAGGCCAAGGCCTTGGTTGCTTCCAACAAATGCTTGTTAATTGGGATTTTTAAGAACTAACATGCACAGGAAGATCAATAAGCAACATTTTTTCACATTGTTTTAAATCTATTGAGTGATTTTTAGGCTATGTTGTGTTATGTTTTCAGGTGCTATGCAATCTGCAAAAGCTTTGTGAAACACTAAGCATATCATCATTTATCTTACTGAGTTACAGTAATAATGTTTAATTTGTAGAAACTTATAATTTGTTATTATTCATTTTCCAATGCCAGTCATACATGTGAAAGTACTAATTATGATATTAATTTTTCAGTGATGTTGTAAGGATTGAAAGACCAGATCTAGAGGAACAGAGAAACCAGCTTATTATCCGCATAAATTCTGACAAGAACCAGTTGAAAGCGATTGAGGAACGGATACTAAAGCTACTTTTTACATCGGAGGGGAATATCCTGGACAATGAGGAACTTATCAATACCCTTCAGGAATCAAAGGTCAGCTGTTCATCCACCTGTTGACTATGGATTCCCTACTTGTGATCTAAATTTTTCCTGGCAGCAGGGCAGAAGGACTGGATGTGTTACACAATGATTACATTTTCTTTTTTTTGTGTAGTATGCCCAGAGTCTGCAGCTGGTTAATTGTTTGAAACTCTATAGCACTATTGTCAGAAACAGACAGCTATTAGCGGGTCACTGCATGAAAGTTTTTTTTTTTTCTTTTCTAATCTGTGTCATTGCTTTATTCAAGAAACATTTGACAGTTGATTACTTACATTGGTATCACTAATGTTTTTGGTTCCTCCAGTTACAATTGGCTATGCATTAGAGTAGCAGAGAGTGTATCTATAGTGATTTGTACTTGTTTATACATTATGGGGGAGATTTATTAAAACTGGAGCATGCAAAATCTGGTGCAGCTCTGCATAGAAACCAGTCAGCTTCTAGGTTTTATTGTCAAAGCTTAATCGAACAAGCTAAAGTTAGAGGACGATTGCCTACCATGCATGGCTGAGCCAAGTTCTGAGTGCTCTAGTCTTAGTAAATCTCCCCCATTTGTTTGAAAGTTGACTACATGGGGGAGTCCTCCTTTTTTCTGTTTGGACTTGGCATGGAAATTGTTACTATTAATTTTCCTACTTCCTTCTCCCGTCACTGCCTGGCTCCAGTTCGTAAAAAAAAAGAGTTCCCTTCCATCGTCTGTATATTGTTTGGGCTGTGAAAGTATCTCAGTCACTGATTCTTCGGGAAGACTGGTCAACTCTTTTTTATTCCGGATGGACCCAGTATGGGTACACTGGCTTCTCAGTCCATCATCTTTAAGTGTCTTAGGCAGACCACTTCTGGTCTTGAGAAATCGGGTTACACCCATTCCTATCAAGGTATACTCTACTAGAGATGTGATTGATTTATGTATTTTTGTGCATTATGCAAATGCAAACTTCCTGGTTTGTAAAACTACCACTTTGTGCTGTTTTTGTTTTCTATTTTATGTATCTTGGGGCTTATCTGATGCCAGTTTTGGGCTTTTGGGTCCTTCAGGCAGCTGTTTGAGCTGCAAATAGTTCTCAGTGTGTGTTTGGCTTGTGTTGTAAATGTTTTTATTTAATGTATTGCAGGCTACAAATAAATGCAGTCAGATGACACACAACAGCATTTTTAGGAAAATGAAGGAGAGGCACATCATACTTGGGACTTTTTTAGTGCAAAAATGTCAACATTTGTATAAATAGTGTTGTGGGAAAGTTTACACTGAGTGATGGCAGAGTATGAAAGACCACTGCTAGATGGGATGAGTATATATGCTGTGTCAAGGAAGTCTATAAGAAGATTGAGAGGGTGCTGGTGGTGGGAGAAGAGAAAAGAAGGGGAGGTCGAGATGTTATTTAGAAAAGAAAAAAAAAGGGCGAAGTGAAACAGAGAAGGTGGGGGAGAAGTGTGGTGGGGGAAAGAGAAGCAAGCCCATTACTCCTGCACACCCCTTGGGACCCCCCACCTAGAGCTCCTGCAATGTGAGAACTCCTTCGTGCAGCCAGGATCAAGCATCTATCAGCGGGGTTCTGTATTCTGCAAGTGTGGTAAATTCATTCTGATAGTGACAAGTTTTTTTAATTGTCTCAATTTTGGAACTAGTGTGTTTTATTTTATTAATTCAGTCAGCCTTTGGGGGATTGTCAGAGGTTATATTTGTTTCTATAGTATGGGTATGCATGCTCTAGTTGTGTTAGCATTGTTTTTTCATATTGTCATTTGGACATATCATGTGAGTGAAGAAGGTATCTTGCTGGGTCTTGACATAGGTCATTAATTGAGAGTTTACTTATTATTTTGTGTATCTTGTTCCAATAAGGGTGTATAAATGGATAGAGTTAGGCATGCAACACGGTTCCCTCTGCAGTGTTACGGTGGCAACAGATGTAACAGGAGAGGAGCTAGGGAAGGGTCTTTGTAGTTTGGTCATGATGTGCTACTTTTTTTTCTTGGACCCATTACCCCATGTTGCTTTGTTGCCCACCATCCTGTTGGAGTTTTTCTAGACATCCCAACAGTCTAAGGATTCTAAGAATTCCTGTGTCCCTCATTAGGCAATAAAGAAAATAGGATGTTTTGTATTGTAACCTGTATCCCCTTTATCTGCAGAGGTAGCAGCCAGGGGTGCATAATGCTTTTCTTTGATGCAAGAATTGTTCCTGCTGTCACTTTCGGCAGGGGTTTTAACCCCTGCCAAACGTGACCCAGTCAAGTGAATGTGGCTGCTCTGTAAGCACGAAGGGTGCTAATGTGGGATTCAAGGGGGTTAAAACAAGAGGTGAGGAGGCATTACAATGCCTTCTCACTGTCTGTCAAATGTCCTCACTGTCTGTCAAATGTCAGAGACGAAGACTGGTGTAAAAAGCCCTAAAATAATTTTCTTGGAGTCCATTGAGGGACACAGGTCCATCCCCTGTGTGCTTATTTCATGCTGTCTTTACTAATTTCCTAGTAAATATGACAGTTGTGGGTGGGGGTAGCCTGTGCTGGCCAAAGGTTTTTTCTTGCCAGTGTCTAATTCTCCTGTAGGCGGCAGTATAACCCAACAGTCTAAGCATTCACTCTGCTTATAGCATAAATCAACTCCATCATATTTATAAAACAGTTGTGCTCAAAAGTTTGCATAACCTTGGAGAATTGGTAATAGTATGTACCATTTTTAAAGAAACCCATTCTTGCAGGTGGTATAGCTGCCCATTTCGTCCTAGCAAAATGCCTCCAGGTCATGCAAAATCTTTGGTTGTCTTGCATGAACCACATGTTTGAGATCTCCCCAGAGTAGCTTGATGATATTAAGGTCAGGAGACTGTGATGGCCACTCCAGAACCTTCACCTGTTTCTGCTGTAATCACTGGAGGGTCAACTTGGCCTTGTGCTTAGGGTCATTGTCATGCTGGAAAGTCCTTTAGAGTCCCATATGTCACGATCGCGGTGTCAGACCCCAGACCATCTCACCAAACTCGTGACCGAAGGGCTAACCGATCTACAACCGCGATGTGACGTGCGTAACAATGTCACACCCAGCTGCACCCTGCACAACGATTTTCCAGCTAATGGATACCGATCGATGTGCCAGCAGCCTGAATCGATTATTACTGGGTCAGGTTAATTACGCAATTAACCCCTTCACACTGCCACCACCTCCTTTTTGATCAGAGAAAGAGGAAACTCGGCGTTCAGCTATAACTCTATGATGGTTGATATAATCGACTGCATAACCTGGTCATAATACAGGCCTGTTATACAGAGGGTTAAAACAAACAGTAGCATCTCTTTAAAGGAAGGGATTCATAAATTGCAATTAAGAGCTATAGAAACAGTTCAACACTTTCAGAAAGAGAAATGTATTACTAAAAGGGTCAAACAGGTGCAATAAAAATATTTACAGAGAAGATGTAACTAAGATATATATATATATATATATATATATACATAGAAAAGAGCACAGCCCAGCAAAGAGATAACAGGGAGAAGTTAAAGGGTTAAGTTACTTGCCAATAAGCCTTGGATATAAGCAGATCATGTTTCACATTTCAGAACGAAAGGCACAGGTCTCCCCAGGTGGTATATTGATGTTAAAAATGGGAGATGTCTTCAACTTTCTTCTCTTAGGCTTGACAGCCTGCTTTAAAGTTTCCCAGCAGGGGGTGGTTCTGAGGTAAAAACCAATCCCCTGTTTAGGGAGGGATCGTCAGGCAGAACCCTAAACTGGAGCCCACATCTTTCATAATTCATATTCTGGTCCATAACTTTCCATCTGCACAAGCGACAGTCCACCCGTAGGTATATTATTATGCAGACAAGTCTGAGGATTATTTAGATATGAATTATGAAATTATATATTGCACAATTCACGAGTTCTCTGTTTCGGCTTCCCTGATGGTCCGAGCTAAGCGAGTGACCCATCAAACTGTTTGCCTGCTCATTGGCCATCTGACGAGGTGTCCGGTTTTTATGTAAGTCTCTCATATTCCAAGATATGAGACATAGGGGAAAAACTGATTTGAGAAGTGTTCATCTAATTCTGTCACCTACGCTGAGCTAGGTTTATTAGCTCAGAGTCCCTTTCAACTCCTGGGAAGGCTCCACTATCCCTTCACGAGGCGTGAAATTACACAGGTACTTTGGCCAGTGAGTCTCCAGCTCTCTTGGGAAAGCTGGTCCTATCTCTTCCTAGGTGAGAAAGGATACAGCTTTCACAGACAGCTCGGCACCTACCTTCAGTTGCCTTGGACTGGCCAGTGACCCATGAACTGTACACACACACACACACACTGGCCAGATGTCTCCTCTCAGTGAGAGGGAGGGATGGGGGAAGGATAAGAGAGAAATATATGTGTCAGGAAAGTTAATCCCTTTGCCAAGATGGAGGTTGAAACCAAAATGGTTGAACCGCGTCCATCTCTGGGTATACGCTGTTACACCATGTGCAGCTTTTGTGCAGAAGAATGCAAATTGTCTACCAGTATTATCTGATAACATGCTTCATTCATCTTGCCATACATTTTCACAAGCATTTAGAGCTCACCCCCCCAAAATATCAGTGGGTCACCACCATGATTCACAGTGGGGATGGTATTCTTGTTGACCCTTATCCAAACATAGCGCGTACGGTTGTGACCATAAAGTTCTATTTGGTTTGGTCTTGTCACTCCAGATTACAGTGTGCTGCTGTCACAGCATAAGGAAAGTACTGCCGATAATCAGCAATTGTCAGAGGACTGATGATCAGTGTCCAGCAGTGCCTCCCATCAAAGTTGCCTACCTGTGCCCATCAGTGCCACCCACCTGTGCCACCTATCAGGGCCCATTAGTGCTGCCTATCAGTGCCCATCAGTGCTGCCTATCAGTGCAGCCACATCAACGCACATCAGTGAAGGAGAAAAATTACCTGTTTGCTCTATTTGTGTGAAAAAAATTATAAAAATGTCATATGGGTACAGTGTTGCATGACCACACAATTGTCATTCAAAGTGCAACAGCACTGAAAGCTGAGAATTGGCCTGGACAGGAAGGGGGTATAAGTGCCCAGTAGGCAAGTGGTTAAAGTAGAACTGTGACATCCCATTAGAGAAAAAATGTGCTACAGCATGTACTTGTACCTCCATTTACAATTTTCCCTTAGTCCCCCTGCAGTAGCTCACATTGTGTGCACACTGTGTGTAAAGTCACATAAAAATGTGAGTTTTTCAGTGATTTTTAGCATTTTTGCACTAGCATTTAGTGGCTTTTTTTGCATTTTTTTTGTGTTTATTTTAGCATTTTTTAGCTTTTTTTTTGCTCTAAAAAAGTCCAAAAACACCAGTTTGCCATTCTTTACCGTGTTTTTCAGTGTAAGAGCATTTTTACAGCCAAAAAACTCCTCTAGAAACCCACTAGCTCTGGGTTTTTCTTCAAGCCAAAAAACGCCCCTGCCAAAAAAAACGCTGATTACAGTCTATGTGTGCATGGATACATAGGATAACATGCTGGGAAGTTTACTGGCTGTAGAAAAAACCGCCAAAAGGGGACTAAATGTTAGAGCAGTAGTGTCCCTTATGTAGATTGTGCACAGTAACTTAAACGGTAAATCTGAACTCTTGTAACATTGTAAATTTTATTTTTTCTCATTGACTGTAGATAACTTCTGGTGCTATCAAAACTAGGCTGCAAGAAGCTGAAGCCACAGAACAAAAGATTAATGCAGCTCGAGAAAAGTACAGGACAGTGGCCACCCAAGGGTCCGTTGTGTATTTTGTCATTGCCAGTCTCTCAGAAATAGACCCGATGTATCAATTCTCATTAAAGTATTTCAAACAAGTAAGTTAAATATTTATATTACTAGAGATTATATTTCTATCACAACATCCATTCAGATATTTCCTTACATATTCTAGCACAACAGAATGACAATCAGAGCCTAAATATTGATTTTGTAAAGGGATAGCACTTCTGTTAGGTGTTTATTGCTGCCTTTGAACTCATTGTCAAGGTTTACCATCACTTCAAGCCCCAGTGACAGAAAGGCAGGGAAAATCCAAAATGTGAGCACCAGCAGAACAAAATTGAATTTGGGCCTTACTAAAAGAATCCTACTGTCTTTTGCAGAAGCCTCTTACAAAGAGGCTAGATGTTGATGTCCTGAAAAGTTAAGTGGCAATTTAGCTTGTTACACCTAAATTTCAAATCTTTTATTGGCTGCATTGACATGGTAACAGATGAACAGTGTGAAGTCTCACAAGAGAAGATTATACGTAAAGCACATCTTAATTTATTTTCAATCCCAGAAAAACCAATGTTCCTGTACCCTATTGCACCTGTTTTTGAAAAAGTCCCAGGATATTAATTCCGGGAGTTTTCCACATGGTCACATGACAAACTGGGGCCCCTCTTCATGCTCTCTAGCACGGGCAGCAGGCAGTTTCATAGTTCAATTGCAAGCTCTTGCTGCATAATGAGGCACACCCAGGTGGGACAAGGGAGGGAGGTCCCATGACAGCCTGGGCTCACAGGTAGGAGGTTGAATGATGCAGGCCATCATTTAACCCAGAAGAGGACCAGCATTGGTATTGGATGATGGAGCAGATCCTGGAAGGCAACGTGGGGTGTGAAAAACGTGAGTAGAGATTTGGGAAATTTTTTTAATTTGAAGGGAAAGAGGGTTTAAATAACAAAATGCATAAAGTTCTGCTTTAAACATGACACTTTTAAAATATTCTAAAACCTTCATTACTTAAAGAACCAAGTATGGTTTCTACTTTCTATGCTATTTAAGTATACATGCTCTTTAAGGATGTGACTCTTTAAAAGAGGAATTCCAGGTACTGATATTTTATACCTAGTTATTTAGTGATCCAGCTTGGACCAATGTAACTATACATATGCCATACTTGGCCGATGCCCATGAAAGCGGGAAATTACTGAAGTAGACACTGCTACTAAACCTCTACTCCAGTGATCTCCACTACATAGTTACATAATTAGTCTGGCTGAAAAAAGACAAGAGTCCATCCAGTTCAACCATTAAAAAAAAAGTTATAATCCTACACCCACAGTTGATCCAGAGGAAGGCAAAAAAACCCAGCAAAGCATGATCCAATTTGCTCCTGCTGGGGAAAAAATTCCTTCCTGATACCCCGAGAGGCAATCGCATATTCCCTGGATCAAGTTTACCTATAAATGTTAGTATCCAGTTATATTCTGTGTATCCAAGAAAGAATCCAGGCCTTTTTTAAAGCAATCCACTGAGCTGGCCAGAACCAACTGTTGATGGAGTCTATTCCACATTTTCACAGCTCTCACTGTGAAGAAACCTTTCCATGTTTGGAGATTAAATTTATTTTCCTCCAGACGTAAAGAGTGCCCCCTTGTCCTCTGTGATGACCTCAAGGTGAATAGCTCTACACCAAGATCACTATATGAACCACTGATGTATTTATACATGTTGATCATATCCCCACTAGCTTTTGGGTCCGGCGCCGGGGGCAACCCTGCTGCATTGTGAACACAGGAGGTTGGCCATTTGGCATGGGCTCCATTCAGTGATTACAGGAGGCAGAGAATGTGATGTACTTGTCCCACCTCTCCACCTTGTCCAATCAGTGAATGCTTTGCATTGATTCAGAAAATGCAGAGCATTCTCTGAATGGCAGTTATGCTGAATGGCCAACCTCCTGTGTTGAGAATGCAGTAGTGGTGTCTACAGTTATTTTCATCTTCTAGAGGGGATTAGCCAAGTATTGTATATACGAGTACATAGTTACATTGATCCAAGCTGGACCAATGTACAGTAACTATATATAAAATATGCATACTTGGAATTTCTCTTTACGCTTTAATAAAGAAGTAGCAGGTAAAGTAGTGATGTTCATAGTGAAACCTAGTCTTTGGTAATGTTCATGGGTTCAAGACTTCAGGCAGTCATTCCCAGTAAAGGATTCTCAACAAAATATTAAAAATGAACATTTTATTTATGATTATATTCAATTGTCCAATTACTTTTAGTCCCTTGAAAAAGGGGGGATGTCTACTCTTAAGAGGTGTAATTCCTAAACCCTTCCTCCAATTTGAGTGTACATACCCTCAAATTAAACCAGAGAGTGTGCACTTTCAGCCCATATCCATTATATAACTATACAGTTGCAAGAAAAAGTATGTGAACCCCTTGGGATTACGTGGAGTTTTGCATGAGTTGGGCATAAAATGTGCTCTGAACGTCATCTAAGTCACAACAATAGAAGAACACAGTCTGCTGAACATAATACTACACAAACATTAGATGTTGCCATGGTTTAATTGCACATAACATGTAAACATTCACAGTGCAGGGAGGAAAAAGTATGTGAGGCCCTAGCTTAATGACTTCTCCCAGAGCTAATTGGAGCCAGGAGTGAGCCAACCTTGACTCCAATCAGTGTGATGATATTGGATGTGTTGCTGCCAGCTGTCCTGCCCTTAAAAAAACACACACCTGTTTTGGGTTTACTGGTTTTAAGAAGCACTGTCTGATGTGAACCATGCCTCGCAGAAAAGAGCTCTCAGAAGACCTACGATCAAGAATTGTTGACTTGCATGAAGCTGGAAAGGGTAACAAAAGTATCTCCAAAAGCCTTGATGTTCATGTGTCCACGGTAAGACAGACTGTCTACAAATGGAGGAAAGTTTAGCACTGTTGCTACTCTCCTAGGCGTGGTCGTCCTGTAAAAATGACTGCAAGAGCACAGTGCAGAATGCTGCATGGGGTAAAGAAGAATCCCAGAGTGTAAGCTAAACACCTACAGAAATCTCTGGCACATGCTAACATTTTTGTTGACACATCTACAATAAGGAAAACATTAAACAAGAATAGAGTACATGGGAGGACACCACGGAGGAAGCCATTGCTGTCCAAAAAGAATATTGCAGCACGTTTGAAGTTTGCAAAAGAGCACCTGGATGTTCCACAGCACTACCGGCAAAATATACTGTGGACAGACGAAACCAAGATTGAGTTGTTTGGGAAGAACACACAAACACTATGTGTGGAGAAAAAAAGGCACAGCACACCAACATCAAAACCTCATCCCCACTGTAAAACATGGCGGAGGGAGCATCGTGGTTTGGGGCTGCTTTGCTGCCTCAGGGCCTGGACGGATTGTTGTCATTGATGGGAAAATGAATTCCAGAGTTTATCAAGACATTTTGCAGGAAAACGTACGACGACCATCTGTCCGCCAACTGAAGCTCCGCAGAGGATGGGTGATGCAACAGGACAATGACCCAAAGCATACAAGTAATTCAACAAAACAATGGCTGCAACAGCACAGAATACGCCTTCTGGAGTGGCCCAGTGTGAGTCCTGACCTCAACCCGATTGAAATGATGTGGCATGACCTTAAGAGAGCGATTCACACCAGACATCCCAAGAATATTGCGACACTGAAACAGTTTTGTGAAGAGGCGTGGTCCAAAATTACTCCAGATCGTTGTGCAGGACTGATCTGCAACTACAGGAAACGTTTGGTTGAGGTTATTGCTGCCAAAGGAGGGTCAACCAGTTATTAAGTCCAAAGGTTCACATACTTTTTCCTCCCTGTACTGTGAATGTTTACATGTTATGTGCAATTAAACCATGGCAACATCTAATGTTTGTGTAGTATTATGTTCAGCAGACTGTGTTCTTCTATTGTTGTGACTTAGATGACGTTCAGAGCACATTGTATGCTCAATTCATGCAAAACTCCACGTAATCCCAAGGGGTTCACATACTTTTTCTTGCAACTGTAGCTTGAATATGTTTTGGTCAATACCTGAAAAAAATTAAAATTGTGCCTGTGTCCAAATAAATATGGACCTAACTGTATATCTCTTTATGTTATTCTGAAATGTCTCTGCTATTGGTTACCATGTATCACAAAATCATTGCTCTTTGTAATACTGCAATGAATAATCCCTTAAGTGAAAAATGTGAACTGTACTTACAACTGAAAAATATACTGTTTTGTGTCTCTTCTATTTGTATGCTCTGCAATTACATGGAACTCCTTCAAGGTATGCTATTTTCTGCTGACTTTTGTTTTTTTTTTTTTTCTTTTCAGTTATTCAACATGACAATTGAATCTGCTGAAAAGAGTAATGATCTTGACACCCGTCTAGCAATCCTTCTCAAGCAAACTCTTTTTTCAGCTTATACCAATGTTTCACGCGGCCTTTTTGAACAGCACAAGCTTATTTACAGCTTTATGCTCTGCATAGAGATCATGCGACAGAATGGAGAAATCACTGAGTCAGAATGGAATTTTTTCCTGCGAGGGGCTGCAGGCTTAGATAAGGTGGGATTTTATTGCTTTTAGTGCAGATAAATCTTCTGGATGTTTTCATATCTCAATAGCTTGAATCAAAACCTATGGCCTGAAGGGAGGAATGTGTTCATGTAAACATAGCGATAAGCTTAATCTTGTGCATCATGCCATTAACCCATAAGGAAAGCTTCCTAGCTCCCAGTGTTTGTTATTGAATGAACCGACTGTCATTGAGAAAACTGCTCTATTTATACGACATAATGCAGTCTGCTTGAACCATGTAACATGTCTAATGCAAAAAATATAAAGTCTCGCAGGTAGCGCACTGAATCAACTCATTGTATAGGAATGACCTGAGGCTCAGGAAGGAACGGGAGAGTTCTGATATGAACTGTAGCCGCGCTGACATTTGTGAATTCACTCTAT